ACCGGGAATCATCCAGTGAGCCCTGCCCTGTCGCCCGTTCCCAGCCTCTGGCAAACAGGCCCGGGACACCCTCCCTGCCCCGCCTGGCCAACAGCCATTGACAGACCGAACCTCCACGAATGGATCTAGTTCGTCCCTGAACCCCGGCGAGGAGTTCCACAGGTTGGCTGGGCGTTGTGGGAAGTAAAACTCCCTTTGGTTTGTTTTAAACCTGCTGCCTGTGGAGTCCATTGGGTGCCCCTCGTTCTTGTGTTCTGAGGAGTAAAGAACTCCTGTGTAGTCACCTCCCCACCCCCGGCACGATTTATAGCCCTCTGGCCTCTCCCCGCTCCCTCGTCTCCCCTCGCACGGCAGCCGTTCCAGACCCCTCCTCAGCTTTGGGCCCTTCTCTGAACTTCTTCCAAAGCCGCGAGAGCTTTTGTGAGATGAGGCGACCCCGTCTGCACGCAGCGTTCAAGCTGTGGGCGGCCAGGGAGCTACGGAGCGGCACTGGGATGTTCTCTGTCTTGTCCGAGCCCCGTCTTACCGATTGCTAATACGCTGCCTGCCTGCCGCTGCGCACGAGGGGACGTGTTCAGAGGACTCCGCCGTGACTCCAGGATCTCTCTCTCGGGGGTTTCTGGCTCAGCTAGTCCCTCTGATTCTGCATGTGGGGTTGGGATCGTGTTTTCCAATGCGTGTTACTTAACTCTGCATTGATCAGCATTCAAATTCATCTGCCATTGGGCTGCCCTGTCACGTAGTTCAGGGAGATCCTTTTGAAGCTCTTCGGAGTCTGCTTTGCTCTGACCTATCTGGAGCAGTTTGGGATCTGGGAGGAAGTGGAGTTTTGGGGTTCAAGGGGGCTGCATGCAGAGGGGGGCGCTCAGTCCTCGGATGTCACCGGTTCAATGTGACAAAGGGGGGGAGTTTGTTGTTGCAGAGAACAGCCCAGAACTGGAGCCTGGGGTCAGCCGGCCCCTGGTCATGGTCCTGGCGAGGCAGAGGGGGGCGCTCAGTCCTCGGATGTCACCGGTTCAATGTGACAAAGGGGGGGAGTTTGTTGTTGCAGAGAACAGCCCAGAACTGGAGCCTGGGGTCAGCCGGCCCCTGGTCATGGTCCTGGCGAGGGGCTTCATTAGCATAAGCGGGGAGCCGCCATTTTTAAATCCCCGCTGCTTCGAACCCCATGTAGCGCGGCTACACGGGGCTCGAACTAGGTAGTTCGGACTAGGGTCCTATTCCGAACTACCGGTACTCCTCGTGAAACGAGGTGTACCGCTGTCTAACCTGCTTTGAAATATCTCCAGTGATGGAGATTCCACAACCTCCTGAGGCATTTCATTCATTTCTATGTTCATTAATAATGATGTTCTACCACTGGCTGGGCTGTGCAAATTGCTCAGCTCCACCAAAATCCTCTACAGTTATTATTATTAATAGTAGCCAATTAGCCCATCATAAGATGGGATTTTCAGGTCTCTCCTCCATGTTGGTCTTCTCTCTCTCTCTCCTCCTACTGCTTCCTCCTCTCTGTCTCTCAGCTCTCCTCCGCCTCCTGCCACTCTCTCCGTCTCTCTCTTTCTCTTCTCCTCTCCCTCCTGCCTCTCACTTTGAGGAGCACGGAGCCCGAACGATCGCTTGTGCCACTTGCTTCCATGCGGCAGCCCGGCTGAGCAGCGCAGAAGTCAGCTGAGCGCCACTGCGGGAGGCGAAGGGGGCAGTGACATTCACAGCGAGGGATCGGGGCTTGGAGCCATTGTCACACAGCACGTCACCGCCCTGCCCTTCTTTCCCTTCCCGCCGTGGCAGG